TGACACTCCCGGGGATAGGGCCCCATACCAATGCCCCTGCCTCTTGGGGAGGGGAGCCTCACCCCCTCTCACTTCAGGTGGGGCAGAGACACAGCAAAGGGATCAGAGCCCAATGCCATGATGCACCTAGGACTCCGGACTGGCTTAATCCAGCCCTGATATTTGCTCAACCCAACTCATGCCCACCAGCTGCCCCCTGCACAGCCGCACCCCCTGGCCAGGAGGCGCAACCTGGAGAGCCGGGCTCGGGCCAGGGATCCTTCCCCTCCGAGGCCAGGCACTCCTACGGGGACAAGGGCTGGAGCCAGAGCGAAGTCACCAGCCGGGGGTTTCCGTGACCCTCTGGTGGAGCCCCTTCCATGCCAGCTGAAAGGAGCAAGAAGAGCCCAGCCATGGGTCAGACAGCAGAACAGGGAGTGGGGGAGTTAGGAGGAGACCAGGGGCTGAGATTAGATCTGGGGGAGATTAGGAGGTTAGAGCCAGGCAGGGGAAGCAGAGTTAGCGCCACAGGGAGGGGATTAGAGGAGGGGGCAGGATTAGAGATGGGTCCTGGGGAGCGGGGGGTTGGAGGAGAAGGTGGGATTAGTGCCAGAAACAGATTAGGGAAGGAGGTGGGATTAGAGGGGGGGGGGAGGTTTATTGCCAGGGTAAAGGGAACAGGCAGGTTTAGTGGGGAAGGAATCAGAGGAGTCAGAATTAGCGCCAGAGGCAAATTAGGGTAGGAGCTGAGATTACAACTGGGGAGGGATTATTTATTCGGATGGTCCAGCCAGCCTGTGGAGGGGGCAACACATTCGCCCGCCCAGCTCTCGGGAACCTTTCTGGTTCCTTTCATTTCTGAAGGCTAGAGGAGGAAAGTGGGTGGGCAGGGGGTCTAGAGGACAGAGGTGCTGGGGTAGATGTTTGGGGGCAAGAAGGGGGTCCTGGATCAGTGGTTTTCAACCTATGGTACGCAGCTCCCTGAGGGTCTGCAGAGTACGTCTGAGATTTCCAAAGCAGTCCGCACCTCCCTTTGAAATGTTTTGGGGGTCCGCAAATGAAAAAGGTTGAAAACCCCTGGGCTACAGGAAAGGATGTTAGAGATCAGGGTAGGTGTTGGGGGATATAGAGGGAGAGGGGGTCAAGGCAGGTGTTGGGGGGGGGTCTAAAAATGGAGGAAGTGGAGGGGTCATGGTATTTGGGAGGGTCTAGAGGGAGTGCTGGGGGGTCAGGGTAGGTGTTAGGAGGGGTTAGAGGTAGGGCTGGGGACTAGAGGAAGGATGATGGGGGCTAGAAGAGGGGAGATTGGGAGGTATTTGGGGGGCTAGAAGAGGAGAGAGGATGGGAGGTATTTGGAGGAAGGGAGCTAGAAGACGGGGTGGGAGGTATTTGGGGGGTGGGGCTAGAAGAGGGGGGGAGGAATTTCAGAGGTAGGGGCTAAAAGAGGGGGAGGAACTGGGGGGAGAGGACTTAGAAGACAAGGAGGATGGGAGGTATTTGGGCAGAGGGGGGTGGGAACTATTGGGGACAAGGAGCAAGAAGAGGGGGACGATGGAAGATGTTTGGGGGTGGGGGGCTAGAAGAGGAGGCGTGGGAGGTATTTGGGGCAGGGGGTAGAAGAGAAGGAGGGTGGAAGATTTTGGGGGAGGGGTTTAGAAGAGGGGGCTGGGAGATAGTTTGGGGGGCGGTATTTGGGGCAGGGGGCTAGAAGAGATGGGGGAATGGGAGGTATTTGGGGAGCAGGGGGTAGAAGAGGGGGAGGATGGGAGGTATTTGGGGGCAGGAGGTAGAAGAGGGGGGAGGTATTTGGGGCGCAAAAGAGGGGGGAGGATGAGAGATATTTGGGAGTGGGGGGTAGAAGAGGGGGAGGGATGGGAGGTATTTGGGACGGGGGCTAGAAGAAGGGCAGGATGGGAGGTATTTGGGGCAGAGGGTAGAAGAGGGGCAAGGGGTAGAAGAGGGGGGAGGATGGCATTTGGAGGCAGGGGTAGAAGAGGGGGGAGGTATTTAGGGAGTGGGAGGTAGAAGAGGGGGGAGGATGGGAGGTATTTGGGGCAGGGGTAGAAGAGATGGGGGGAAGGCATTTGAGGGCGGGGGGAGGATGGGAGGTATTTGGGGACGGGGGTAGAAGAGGGGGAGGATCAGAGGTATTTGGGGTGGGGGCTAGAAGAGATGGGGGAAGGCATTTGAGGGCGGGGGAGGATGGGAGGTATTTGGGGGCAGGAGGTAGAAGGGGGACAGGATGGGAGGTATTAGGGGCGGGGGGCTAGAAGAGGAGGGGTGGAAAGCAATTGGGGGGTGGGGGTAGAAGAGGGGGGAGGATGGGAGGTATTTGGGGGCAGGAAGTAGAAGAGGGGAGGATGGGAGGTATTTGGGGTGGGGACTAGAAGAGACGGGGAAAGGCATTTGGGGGTGGGGGAAGGATGGGAGGTATTTGGGGGCAGGAGGTAGAAGGGGGACAGGATGGGAGGTATTAGGGGTGGGGGCTAGAAGAGGAGGGGTGGAAAGCATTTGGGGGTGGGGGTAGAAGAGGGGGGAGGATGGGAGGTATTTGGGGGTGGGGGCTAGAAGAGATGGGGGAAGGCATTTGGGGGCGGGGGTAGAAGAAAGGCAGGATGGGAGGTATTTGGGGCAGAGGGTAGAAGAGGAGGGGGAAGGCATTTGGGGGCGGGGGCAGGATGGGAGGTATTTGGGGGCGGGGGGTAGAAGAGGGGAGAGGATGGAAGGTATTAGGGGCGGGGGTAGAAGTGGGGCAGGATGGGAGGTATTAGGGGCGGGGGGGGCTAGAAGAAGAGGGGGTGGAAAGCATTGGGGGGGGCTGGGGTGTATTTGAGGGGGGCCCCCACCAATTTTACCCTCTCGCGCTCCAGGCCGCTCCACGTGCTGCTCAAGAGGCGCCTCGGGGCCCCCTGACGCCCAAGCCCGCCCTGGGAAGCTCCGCCCATCCCGACACAGCCAATAGGACGAGGAGACAGAGCCCTGACCAATTAGAACGCAAGAAGAAAGCTCCCTCTCCCCGCCCCCCCGTCGTTTGGATGGGTGGGGGCTGCACGCAATGAGCCAGACACCCCTCACCGGAGGGGGTGTGTGGGGGGAGTGTGCTGCAGTGACCAGACCCCCCCTGGGGTGGGGGGGCTTCAGTGACCAGACACCCCCCCACACACCAGTGCTGCAGCAGGGAGGGTGGGTGCAGAGACACAGGATCTGGTGGTACTTTGTGCAGCCACTGCTGTGATGAGTTGGTGAGTCTCAGCCTTGAGGGCCAGGCTTCTTGCTGTCACCCACCTCCCAGCTTCCCAGCTTGTCTAGGGGGCGCCCTCCCTTTACTGCCTCCGCCGGAGGAATTTGTTTCCCTTATAACCACTTTGTGTCCCGGAGGCGTGGGTGCCGTGTAGCCGGTGGCCGTGGTTCTGTAGCAGGAGCCATGCTAACAAAATAATCCCTCGCACCAGACTCAGTCGATCCTTCCTGAGGACTTTATTCTGGTGACGGGGAGCCTGATTTCCAGCCTTCCCCGAGGGAACCTTCCCAAAGGGGCTCTCTGGTGCTGAGCCACAAGTCCCTCGCACTCCCCACCAGCGGGGGCAGGGGTCCCGTGTGTTCTTTTGGTTTGGAGGGAAGTAGAAGATGCGTCTCTGGTTTTTGCAGGGCCGATAGAGGGAGAAATCCCTGGTTCTCTCCTCCAGGCACCCAGCAGAGAAATTGCGGAAGAGAGAGACCTTGAGCTGCACCAGGACCTGGCGGGCCTGCAGCACACCGAGAGAGAAGAAGGGTGGTGAGGCCTAGAACCGAGGAGCAGAAATAAAAGCTTTGCCATGCATCAACTTGCGGAACTCCCTGCTGCAGGAGGGCCAGATCCTCTCATAGCTTGTGTAGAAGGCCTGGGAGTGGAGCAGGAGCTCAGCTCAGCAAAAACATATGGCCCTACCTAGCCCCACATCCCCATTCTCTGTGACCCCAAACCCCTGCTTGGCCTCAGCACCCACAATCCCCCATTGCTCCTGCACAACTCCTGTGTCCCATTCTCTGTTACCAAGAATCCCCTGGGGCTCTGCCCAACCCCAGCACCCCAGTCTCTGTTTTCCAGAATTCCCTGTAGCCCCTGCCCACACCAGTGCCCCATTGTTTATTACCCAGAATCCCCAGTGTCCCCTACTCTGCCCCACAGCTGTCGCCTGCAGGCCCCTGGGGAGCACGAGAAAGCCCATGGGTCACGCACTGCAGCTCATGCTCCTTTCCCATGATGGGAACCAAAGCCTCCTGAAGGGAGTGGAGCTGCAGAAGTAGGATGGGATAAATCAGAGAGCAGGACACTGGGGTGGTGACAGGGGGAGGCAGCAATTCCCCCTCCACAAACCATCAGCAGCCAAGGGCAAACCCAGCCAGAAAAGGCCAGGGATCCCAAGGGGGGATGAGCCAAGCCCCTCACACCAGGGATGGGGCCCCAGGGAGCCTGTGGGGCAGGAGCACAAGGGGGTACCTAGTAGCTGTGATTGCAGGACAGGAGGATCCCGGCTTTCTGGAACGCTCTGTGCGAAAGGGAAATGAATTGGGGTCAGCCGGAGTGGGGGGAGGTAAAATCACCCCATGATGCCAGCACTGCAGTGCCACCAGCCTCCTCCATGAGCCCCTACCCCACCCCATAGAGCACTAACCAGAGAGAGGGAGCCCCACCTTCAGCAATAGGCAGAACCACCCCCTGACAGAGTCCCTATTCACCCCATAATCATCCCCCTGAGAGAAAGTGCTGACCTGCAGATCACCCCATTATAGATCTCCTGATCAAGAGACCCCAGTACTGTACATCGATCCCCAAAGGAGAACTGTACCCCGTTACAGATTGTCTCGGCCTCTCTCTATACATCCCCACCACTGAGAGCTCCCCTCACTAGAGATCCCCAACACCAAGATCCCCTCACTAGAGATCCCCTCACTATGGATCTCCAACACTGAGATCCCCTCACTAGAGACCCCCAACACTGAGAGATCCCCTCACTATGGATCTCCAACACTGAGATCCCCTCACTAGAGACCCCCAACACTGAGAGATCCCCTCACTATGGATCTCCAACACTGAGATCTCCTTACTAGAGATCTCCTCACTACAGAGCTCTCAGATGAAGATCCCCTAATAATAGATCCCCACCCTATAGACCCGTGCATGAGAGATCTACTTGTGAAAGATCCCCGCACAGAGTCCCACCTGTCCTATGAGGTGTCCCAATCCCTTGGCCCATAACCAAGGGAGTCCAAACCCCTCTCCAAGCCCCTGCCCCAATGAGAACTTTGCTGTCCCCAAGGAGTGTGGGGTGGGGTTTGGAAGTGCCCCCCGCAGGAGGTCTATTCTCTCTTGCTCACCCACCTGGCTGCCAGGCTCACTCTGTGCCCAGTGCCCAGCTCACCCGTTGATGTACATGGTGCGCAGGGCGAGGGCTGCCCCGAAGCACTTGCTGGGGAGCTCAAGGCTTCCACGCACCCAGCGCAGGTCCTGTTCTTCTGCCACACTTCCCTCCTGGGGTGGGAGTGGGGTAAATGCCCCTGAGGCAGTCACATCCCCCCCCCCCCGCCTCCAGGCTACATGCTGGGAATCAAGGGTGGGAGGCAGGGGGATCTGCCAGCCGTGGGGTTCCCTGGAGCCTGGTGGCATTCACAAGGAGAACCGCGATGGCCTGACACCCCAACCCCGTACGAGCTCCCACCCGTGCCTACCACCCGTGCCTACTGCCTCTTGAGCATTCCTCCCTACAGCCTCCCCAATACCTCCCCCTGGCCGTCTCCCCTCCCCTGCAGCTTCCTATCCCCCCCCCAGCTCCCGCCCTGTGGCATCCCCCCTCTCTACGCTTTCTCCCTGCAGCTTGCCCCATTCCCTCCCTGAGTCCGAGCTCTACCCCCCGACACATCCGTCAGTGCCCCCCACCCCGCCCCCGCCATCAGCAATCAAGCCGGGGAATCACCCCCTTCTCCCTCGCGAGGGCTCCAGGAGGAGGCAGAACCCCCTGCCCCCTGCAACACCAGCCTCCCAGCCATGTACCCTGGGGTGGGGTTGGATAAGGGTGGATTTATTCTTTCCATTCCTCAGATCTAGCCCTCAGCCCCGGCCTGCCCATACGTCATCCAGGGTCTGGAGCAGTTGGCTGCTTACCCAGGGCTACCGAGGAGACTCCGGGAGAAGGGACTAGATTCTCCACGGCTTTGCATCCATTCACACTGGTACCCATCTCACACATAGGGGAAACTGAGGCACCAGGGAGGGAGATATGGCCTGCGCCAGGTCAGATTGGGAGTCTGTGGGAGAGCCAGGAATAGAACCCAGGAGTCCTGGCTCCATGGACAGCATGGGACTCTTCCATTTGGGGAGGCTAGACAAGCCCGGACTGCGGCCCTGCCCCAAGGCCCGCTCCCGCTCAGCCTCCTCCTGCCGAAGCCCCACCCACACTCCACCCTCAGACCCTCTCGGCACACTCCTGTGAGGCCCCCCGCCCACCTCTTCCCACCTCTCACGTCTCTTCCCCCAAGGCCTCCGCCACTTGCACCTCTTTGCCCCCTCCCCAGAGACCCCCCACTTGCCTGCCTGCCGTTTGCACCTCCACCCCTTCCCCTGAGGCCCCCATGTGGGCGGATGGGAACTTGGGAAAGGGCAGAGTGAGGATGGGGCCTTGGGGGAAGAGGTCGAGCGGGCGCAGGGCCTCTGGGCGGAGCACGGGCCAGATGCCTCCCCTGGCCTCTTATCCCCGCCGCCCATGCCTGGCTCCCAGCCTCCCCTGCTCTAACTACTAGACCCAGTGTCGTTGGAACAATTTTTATAGTGGGAGGTGCTGAGAGCCATTGAACAAAACTAAACTCTGTACAGGATGGAAACCACTTCAAGCCAGGGGGTGCTGCCACACCCCCAGCACCACGACTGGACCCCACTCCCTCCCCAGAGCTAGAGGTGGGACCCAGAAATCCTGGCTCTCAACCCCCACTCTAACCACTAGACACCCACTGCCCTCCCAAGCTGGGAATAGAACCCAGGAGTCCTGGCTGTGCCTCCCCAAACAGCCCAGTGTAGCCCTGCCCAGAAGGCCCCCTCCTGCTCGCCCTTCCCCCTTGGCCCCAGCCCAGGCAGGCTGGCAGCTCCTCCTCAGGGAAGTGTTCTGGGGCTAGGGCTAGGTGGCCACGGACAGCCTGTGGCCGGGACTTGAGGTGCCTGGCACTGCCCACCATGTGCTTGGGAAGGGCTGGATGCCGCCTGCCCAGCACTTGGGAGCTGGAGGGGCCGTGCGCGGCCTGCCCACCCAGCATTTAGGGCCTGGGGGTCACAGGTGGACTGGGAGGGGGCATGTGCTGCCCGCTGAGCATGCTGGGGGGAGAGGCTAGTGACCACGGGTGGGCGCTCTGGGCTCTGGTGGGGGAAGGGGCCAGGAGGGGCAGGGCCGGCTGGGGGGGGATAGGACGCTCCATAAAGCAAGCCAATGGGCCCACCTAACCTGGTATCCTCCCCATATCACATCAATGGGCTGATCTAACCTCATATCATAGTCATAGAATATCAGGGTTGGAAGAGATCTCAGGAGGTCATCTACTCCAACCCCCTGCTCAAAGCAGGACCAATCCCCAGACAGATTTTTGCCCCCGATCCCTAAATGGCCCCCTCAAGGATTGAGCTCACAACCCTGGGTTTAGCAAGCCAATGCTCAAACCACTGAGCTATCTCTCCCCCACCAAATATCACAACACTGCATTGGCTGGGAATTGATCCCAGGTCAACTGCTTGAAGGGCAGTTATGCTCACCACTATACCACCAATGCATCTGAATGTAGTCACCCTCACACCAGCTTAATGGGCCCATCTAACCTGTATCCCCCACCCCCATCAGATCAATGGACCCATCTAACCTGGTATCCCACCCCTGCTCCCCACATCAGATCAATGGGCTTATGTAACCTCGTATCCCCCCACATCAGAT